TAGGAAAACAAACTATTTAATGCATACAATCCAAAGGAAATCTCTAAATAGTTTCTACATTCAAATTTCCCTCCCAAAACTCAAAAATCTTTCGAAAACTGCTTTTTCGGAGCAGGGCGTGCGATCACTGTGTACACGGGAGGCGGAAGTTTTGCCTGTTTCACCTGTAGTCAGTCCCGTATGGACCTGCTGGACTAGTCAATTGGACCGGTCTAACATAAACTAATACAATAGAGAAATCAATAAATCAGTATGGGTGTCGAATCACTAAATTAGTCGTCGTATCAATTCTTTCTATCTGTTTATAAATCATTTAAAGCGATAAATTCAAAGCATTAGTAAAAACTATCAAAATTATATTAATGCAATAAAATCATATAGGAGAGTATAAATATTATTTAGGTATTCAGTGAAATCCATACAGTAGTAGAAAATTGTCTCAGTAACATTTATTTCAGTAGTTACACTAAACAAGTAAGTTCTGACTATTTTGATGTTTTCAATAATCAGTAATCGGTAGTCGCTAATCGTTGGTTTAATAAATAAAGTCATTACTTTTTGCCCGTCGGCACAGTAATAACTATTTATCAGTCCCAATCAGTATCACTTGAATCAGTAGAGGATAACACCCAACTACAATATTTAAAGGAAAGCCTGTCGCCACCAACCTATATAAGTCAATCAGTCTCAAACCAATAGGTCAACCAGTCATTACTTATCTTTTATACACATTATTATCACAGTACTATAACAGTAATTGTGACTAGCATTTCAACAAATAAAATAATTGGGCTTAATTTAGAAGGTATTAAAATATTCTAATGGTAGCCAAGAGAAAATCATATTGAGGAAAAATTCATATTTTCAAAAATTAGCCAAATTATCAGGGATCATATATAACAATATTATAAAGTTTTAATTAAATTAAAAACTATTTTTAGATATCAAAATAAATTTCAGATTAGAAAAAAATCACTATTTTTTCAAAATTAACTGGCAAAAAATCTCAAATAAATACTCAAAATATCTATAATCTCAATATCTTTAATATATAAAAAGTTACGCAATGAAAATTTTACCCATACATGTCAATGGCACAAATGGCGCATGCCATGATGCACATATGACGCTATTTACTTAGCATAGCACATCAAAATAGCTCTCGCTATTTGTGTCATGCATGGGCAATGACGCATGACGCACATAACACACTATTTTTTTAACCTGTTATAAATTTCAAATTATAAATTATAATTAAATTTTTTAAGGTTTATATATTAATATTATAATAAATTATTAATTAATTAATCTTAAATTAATAAAATTTAAAAAATTATCCTTATTTTTTGGTAATGTAAACACAAATATAATCAGAAAATACTAAAAGCACTAAATTATTAAAATTAGAAATAAGATAAAGACTCCTTACAGGTGAGAAATCTCCCAACTAAAACGACTAACAAAAATCACTCTACTACTTACAAATCTCAACTTTCTTTTTCCATCTCCTAATATTTTCTCTAAAATTCCTTTTTCATTATCTCTATTTGCCATATGAAGAGGATAAAAAGGGATTTGAAGATTTTAAGTTAATGAAAATAAATTTTTATAATAAAATAATGATATAATATTATTGAGTATTCAATTTAAATTCATATAAATTTTTTTGGGGCTTAAAAAATAATAGAAAAAATATCCATTGAATAACACATTTTATTTAAAAATTCTGGTTAAATCGGTTTATAAAACAGACATTTGATAGGCTAACATCTCCTCGTAACACCACCCTCTTCCCCTCACATGAATCTCCATAGTCAAAGGTTTCTAGTCGACCTTCGCCTCAATCTTTTGTAAAAACTTCATCTCTAAGATCACATCAGTGCTTCCCAAATATAAGGGAAGAAAATCCTCTACTATATGTAGGCCCCTGGAGTGTCAGCACCAATCTCATGCAAATCCCCCTTTTCTTGCCACCTTCCCTATCCTCATAATGACTCTAAAACTCCCTGTATCCACCAACTTCAATTCCAACTAGTCAATGACCCGATTTGAGATGAAGTTGTGAGTAGCCCCGTCATCCACCAAAACCACCACTGGTTGCTCCCTTATCTATCCCCTCACCTTCATGGTGTGATTTAGAGTAAACCACCACTGAGTTAAGGGACACTTCCGCCATATCAAGGTGTAGGTGCTCTCCTCCAGCTTTTGCATCCTCCACTAACTTCTCGTTGTCATTCTCCTCATCACAAACTATAAGGACCTAAAGTGTGCGGTCGTTGCACCAATTTGTTGCATATTTCTCATCATATCGTAAACATCAACCCTTTGCTCTCTATTCCTGCACATCTACCCCTATGAGGTGCTTGAAGTTGGCCACGGGGCAAACTCCCCCATTCTTTTCCCTCGATGCCTTCGCTGAAATGACACCTTCTAGGTCCTTGGTGCCATTAAAGTCGAGGCACTCCTGTAGGAGCCTCCCATGACTCTGCTCTTACTGGTCCTCTCCATTTCTCTCTGATCCTCCATCATCTGGGCTAGCTCCATCGTCTCCCTCAACTCCCTCGGCCTCAACAATCGAAGGTCTGCCCTTATGTCAGGCTTTAGGCCGTTCATGAAATTTTTCTCCAATATAGCCTCTGAAATCCTCTTCAACTGCCCTGATAGAAACTCAAATCTCTCCCTATATTCCATGATGGTCTCCTCCTCTGTCAAGGCAAAGCATTGCTCATGTAGGTCTCCTTCCAGAATGGCTAAAAAATGCTTCAACAAGCAATCCTTAAACTGCTCCCAATATTGAATCGAATATCTAGCCTCCCTCAACTGGAACCAAGTTAGGCCTTTCCCCTCTAGACATAGCCCTGTGGTCATAATCTTCTCCTCCTCATTCAACCCATTCATCGCAAAATATGTTTCCACCTGTACACCCACCCATGACATCCGCCCATTCAAATATCGACATCTTCAACTTCCTCCCCCTAGCATCTCCACTTAAACTTCCTCTCCCTCCAATGGTTTCCCTTTGTGTATCAAGGGTGGGAATCCCACCTTTCTTCTATCCTTCTTGCATGACTTATAGTGGTCGGCCAGCTCGCCACTTCCACCACAAAATTTCTTCCTTCCTGTCACCCTATCTAGAAACCCTGATTTGCCCCTTTTCAGAGCCGTAGGTGGTGACTCTTGATAAAAGAAACTATCCTCATCAAACTCCGCCCGTCCGATCTCCTTTCCTTTAAATTCGGTTATGGGAATCCCGGTCAAATCTTGATTAGGGTTAGCAATCGTAACCCCAACGGAGTTTTGGATTGCATCTCCATGAGCTTCCTCATCTTCTCCTCCAACCCTCTAAATCGGATCTCCATTCAATTCTCCATGATTGTAAAACCTTCCTTTAATGGTTGAGAACCTCTCCTCCTTCCTAGATATGATTTGCTCCACTTCGCCTTCCAATGCATCTACCTTCTTTGTTACCATCTCTCTAAAACATCCCCCTAATACCAATTTAATGCGACTTGGAAGCAAAGACAACGAAATAGATAATTAGAAAATGCAATAACACAAATATAACGGTAGATTTTTTATTACTCCTTCAATAATAACGAAAGATACAATTGATCTACTGTTCGAGTGGTAGATCGGCTCTCCCACAAACTCTAATTGCCACTAGGAAATTCACACCCAAAGAGGAAATATAAACTTAACCCTAGGCAAAGCTCCTTAAATAGCTATAACACAATTAAAACCTTCATAAACATCTCCCCCTTGATTCCTCCTTCGTACACAATGAATAATAGCTCCTCTGGGCCGCACAAGGGGGTTTGAAATTCCCCCTTCCACTGCCCCTGATTCTGCCCAGCCAAATGGCTGCTTGGACATGGGCTTTGCCGGCCTGGTCCCCCCCCCCCCTCCGTATAATAATCCTTCATGTCTTCTCCCTTCACTAAGTCTTCTTATTAGTGTATGATATATTTGTATACTCTTCTAAAGTTTCTTCGTAAGCCTCTTAATGAAACTAAGTAATCTTATCTCACATTATGTTTGTCTCAACTAAAATATTTTAATTTGTCTCTCCTTCAGTAACTTATCTTAAAAGATTAATTTTTTCTCATATTTCAAATTCCACTATGTTATCTTAGTTCAATCATTTTTTTAATTGTTTTCTTTATATTCTTAAGATATGCACACACTACCCTACTTTGTTCCATGAAACTTTTACCTGAATATTATAATCTTTGTAAGAATATTTTTTTCATTCTTTCAGAAGGAGAAGAAATCATTTTTTGATTTGATGACTCCAATTTTGTAAGTCATGAAGAGTTCTTTTAGTTTCTTGAAGTATATATTTATTATTATTAGATCATATGCTGTTGCAAAGTCAAGTATAGCTTCTCCAATTGTATTTTTGTCCATATTTCATAGCCATGTTGAATCCCCTCTTAGCCAATACTACTAAAACCTATATGCTCATTTAAATCATCTCTATTAAATTTCATTTCTTCATTAGGTATATGTTGCAAGAATCCATTCATCACTTTTCAAAGTTAAAAAAAAAAAAAAACTATATTCAAATCCAACATAGGAGAATAAACTCTAACTCTATATAATTTTGTTGCAAATAATTATCTCAATAGCAATCATGCTATTACTTACTCCATACCCTCAATAATTTCATCATTCAACTGTTTATCCATTACTATTCCAACACCATTATCAACTCATATTGCACTCAACAAGAATAACAAAGACAGATGCTTTATAAAGCTATTGCATCTTTTAGATAGGATAAGGTTAACAATCATTGTTATGGTTCAAAATAAGATGCTCTTCATGTTAGAATAGAGATTGTTCTTCGCAATTCAGTGAATGCTAAATTATAACTATCTAACTCCTAAAATTTTGGATCCCAACCTGTACATTTTCATAGAGATCACTTTGAAACCAAGGATGTTTATGGTAGGTTATTTATTTGTGCATATCTTAATTTAAATTTCATTCTGGCATAGGTTAAAGTCATTGGAGTGGAGCCCTTTGATGCAAATGCAATGGCATTGTCTCTTTATCATGGCCAGAGAGTAATGCTTGAACAAGTGGGAGGCTTTGCTGATGGTGTGGCAGTCAAAGTAGTTGGAGAAGAAACTTTCCGCTTATGCAGAGATCTTGTTGATGGGGTGGTTCTTGTCAGTCGAGATGCTATCTGCGCATCTATAAAGGTGAATCATTGTCTTTAATGGCTTGGCAATATATGTATATTCATTTTTATGTATCATCTTTAACATATGCACTGTGTTTGCCTTTTTTAGACCAAGATGATCCTCATCATCATTATTAGGAAAATCCTAACTATTTGTGGTTAGCTTAATAGTTTTTCATTTGATTATATTGAATGATACATTAGTTATTCATCTTATTTTATGTATTTTTGTTCTTGTATTCGTATACCTTAGTCCTATCTTTTTTTTCTTGATCATTTGATAATTATTATATCTACCGGACTTATTGTTGCATATTCTCTATACATATTTGAACTACAATTTATTTTCTACTCCCATGTGTCCTCTAACAATGCTTCATTTTTAAACTCTCTCTCTAATATAATCAGAACCTTTTTCCAATATTTTAGATGCTCTTGTTTTACCAAACAATCTTGTCGTTCTACTTTGTGACATGCTCAACTTTAACTTTTACGCTCACCTTGGAACACTCATATTCATACTACTCAATCAGCCTAATTTTTTTTTTCTAAATCCATCTGGAAGTATCTATGATGTTCTATTTTTGCATTGGGCTCTTGAGGCACTTTCCTATTTTGACCACTGAATTTTAATTCTAAAGTTTTATCTTCATTCTTCCTTATGGTAGATCCAACATACTAAATTCTATCACGCCTAACACTTTGTTCTCTCCGCTAATAAATGTTTGTATCAAACCAACTGAAAATTCATAATTATATGCTTGATATGAATACACCTTTTCATGTGACTGTGACATGGATGCTTGCTGATATGCATCGTGCATGTTTCTACTTCTTTTTTTTTTTACACAACTATTCATACAGTTTATAAGTGTATCTTTAAGGATGACAAGGGGTCTTTGTAAATTTAACCTTCGAACCTTTAGAAGCCTGGGAGGATTTCGATATTTCCCAAAAAAAAATGTTAGCCTCATCCAACATCATAATGGAAAGAAATTGAGCATTACATGTGGAATTATGCAAGTTCGTGATATTCTAATTTATATATGAGCTCTGAAAATTTGGTGCCCTTACATCTCCGCGTGATACGAGGAGAGTTTTAACGGATTATGTTACATGGTTTTCGAAAAACAGATTTGTTAGAGATAAGACACTACTATGAGTTTTTGCCCTCATTTTGCGAGTAGTTTAAGCTTTGATTTCAGGTTTTCATAGGTGCATGCCCCTATGTTTAATTACCCCTCATAGTGATGATAGTACTTTTGATAAAGGCTAGTCGTTTAATAGGCATTTAATATTTAGCATGTAGTGGCTATGAATTTAGATTTTGCAATTAAAAATTTATCACCTTGCACTTAATGTGGTTGGTGGTGGGAATGATGAAGAATTTGATCACAATCCCATGGTTTTGTTGTCTCGGATTATCAGTCCCTAGCAAAGCCCTACATGGGTTCCTGGTTGGGTACCTATTGGGCACCCATGCCTTACTTGGACGGGCTTTGCCCACCCACGCCCACCCTTGGTGACTTTTGGGATGCCGTACCCACCTATACCCACCCACTTTCCATGGTTTTTGAACGCAGTCTACCACAGACTGATAGCCTGAGGCTTGTTGCCCTTTGCTCTGATTACAAACTTTCAAGTCGCATATCAGAATTTACCGTAGTCTCAATGTGGTTAAGTGCTGCACACTACGTAGTGAGGATTGCAGTAATATAAGTTATACAGTGATTAACAATGTAAATGGATTTATCCCCCGATGTTGAATACCCACCCACAAGGCCATGGGCGTACCCATACCCACCTATACCCATTGGGTATGGGTGGGTATATGGGTGAGTGTGGGTATGGGTACCCAATCCAGGGCTCTGGTCCCTAGTATACTTAATCAAAAGAGTTGGTCGACCGATCATGACCAAATGATTCTTGTCAGCAGCCATGAGTTGCTCTATATAATGGTATCTTATAAACATAGGGTGACTGTTTATCTAAGAGATAAAGTCAAGTCGACCTTAGCTAATAATTGACTTTGTGCTCCATCAAGTTTAACTTATGATTCGTTAGTCAATTGTATTAGACATTTGAGAACATACAAGCTTTGACCACGACCATAATATAGTTGTGCCTATCTGCTGCAAAATCACTTGGTTAGAAGGCCTCAATCATAACTGTTTATTTGTGGAGCCATTGTGCTTAATCATCAATCCTATGGACCTGTTGGGCCAAACCAATAGTTAGAAGGCACATGCCACGTTCTTACTATCGAGAGATTGTGTGAGAATGAAGAGATTGTGTGAGAATGAATCTTAGTGATATTTTTAATAAGACATTCGCTCTTTCTGAGCTGAAATAATTCTTGAATTCATCGTCCTCACCAAACGATTGCCAAGAGTGGATGAGTTTTACTTTTAGTCTTTTTACATGATTAATTTTACTTATATTTGAATTTTTATAGATATTGAGCTTTAAAACTTTAATAGAATTTAAGAATTGACCTCTTCGATTGAGATTTACTATTAATGCATCCATCATTGGGTTGAAATTAAAGTCACTTGAAAACTACTTGTGTTTAATCAAGAGTTTTAAGGCATTTAAAAGAATAAAGTTCTCACTGTTTGAGATTTATTTTCAACACATCCATCATCTGGGTGATGTTAAAATTACTTTAAATATATTTGTAGTTATCAGGATTTGGAGACATTTAAAGAGATAGGTCTCATTCGGTTGATATTTACTTTTAACATGACCATCATCAAAAAATATTAAGTCATTAGAGTAATATGTATATTTTGTGATCTGAGAATTTAATTTTAACCCCCTTCTTGTAGTTGAGATAAATCATAAATGCAATCATCATCAAGCATATGTTGAATTCACTTCAAAATATTTGTATTTTATTGGAGTTTTGAGGTATTTAGAAAAGTTAGAATTCCTACTGGTTAAGATTCACTTTCAATACGGCTATTATCAAAGACATATTAAAGTCACTTAAAAACTTTTGTATTTTATCAAGGTTTAGAGGTATTTAAAATGATAGAGTCCTTTCCAGTTTAGATTCAATTTCAACATTGCCATCATCTTAATTTTACTTTAAATTTAATTTCATATTTTACACTTGAAGCATTCTTGGACCTTGGATTTAAGGGTTCGATGCGATGGTCGGAGCATATGCAATAATTATATTATAAATATGATTTTATTGAACTCGCTTTTAGCTTAGCATAGCCTTTTCAAATTTTTGTGTTTGAGCATCTAGCATGTTTGTCGGAGTGGTAGTTTGCTTTATTCAATTCATTTGTAACTCTACATAGCCTTTTTAGATTTTCATGTTTAAGCATTAAGCACATTTGTAGGAGCACATGCGGGTGATTTTGATCACTTTTAAAATGATGTGCATATTTTTCAATAAGTTTATGCTGTATATACTTGCACACTTTTCAATGTACTTACATGATATGTGTGTATGCTTTCAATGTATTGGCATGCTTTTTAATATACTCGCGCAGTATACTTATATGAATTTCAGTGCATTTGCATTGCATGTTTGTATGTTTTTTATTTGCTTTCACGTTTTTCAATGTAATCACACATTTCTCGAAGTGCCATACTTTGTTGATGTTGACCTTTACATACATGTCAAATCCAATGCAAGTGGCTTCCATGTCACCTAAATCTTTATTAAATCCCTCAAAAGGTAGCAGCTGCCACATCACCCAAAACCTGCTAGTATCCTGCTCAAATCCTGTTGTAATAGCTCACAAAATTTGCCCTTATCCTGCTCAAATCCTGCTGTACCAGCAGCCCATATCCTGCTAAAAATCTCTGTCAAATCCATCAAAACTGCAGCTGCCCTGTCAAAGTTCTGCTCCATACCTACAGCAGCCACCTGTTTTTGTCAGGCAAGTGGAAATAAAAATAAATAAATAAGGGCTTATCATGTGCTCCTAACTGATCTCTCTCATCTCTATATATACACACACAAGCCCCCACTCCTATTTGCTTGGTTCCTGCAGCTCTCCACGTGAAACTTCCCACTGCCAGCAGCACCTCCACCTTCCATGCCATTCTCCCTTTTCTTCTTCAGCAAAACCACTCCACAACACCACAACAGCAAGCCTCAAGCTTCCCTTACCTTACACACGAAGCATACAACAGCCTCTCCTTCCTCTCAACTACCTGATCTCAACTCCAACTCCATACAACTACAAATCACCTCATACTTCATCCCTACAACAGCAGTGCCCTCTCCACCAACTTGATCTCCAATACACAGCAGCCACTGTTTCCAATTCCCTTCCATCCTCTGCCTAAACAACCAACTACACCTATATCACCTCCACCATTTTTCATTCTTCCCCATACAACACCTGCCATCTCCTCCATTCAAAGGCCAAAACTCTCATACTCCAAAGCCCACAAGAGCTCTCCAAAACAGCCCATTAGCATACCCTTCATCCCTTCTTGGCTACTAACTTAGAACCTGCTTATTTTACCTAAAGTAGCCCATTACAGGTATAAATTTCCTTCCATTTGCTTTATGTTGTTAACTTCATTATGATTTCTAGTACAGTATTATTACATTGTATAGAGTGGTTGTTGTTAATGACATTTATAATAATTACCGTCAAGGCCTCCCCAACGATAATTATTATTAATGACGTTAATAATTGTTAACCAAAGCCTAAAAAAAAAGAAAGAAAAAGAAAAAAAAAAGAGAAGAAAGAGAAGCTCACTCCTCTCTTGCCTCGGTCTTCGTGCCCTCCACCGCCGGTCCACTGGTCTGCCGGTCCCGAAGGCATAATTTCTAAACTCAGATTTCTGTTCTCGGTACTTGCAACGAGGCGAACAACCACTTATGCACGCTTTTTTCTAGCGATGTAACGGGACGGGTAATCAAAACCCCATTTTCGGCGTTAGTATCGGACAGGAAAACCAACTCATGCACGTTTTTCTCTAGCGTGGTGAGAAGGGAACCCGGTGCGATGCATGCGGCGAGGCTGGGTCAATTATAAAATTGCTTATTTTAAACTGGTGCCCGCAACCCATGCACGC